TTGCATGTGACTGTAATCCTAGCATTGACAATATCTACTTCTCATACTTACATTTTTTCTCAGATTATTCTTTTTGTAAGTATGTCAAGTACCTTGTTTTTCTTGCTATATTGCTTGATTAAAGCCAACGGCCTTTTAATTGGACATTTCCTTTCGATAGATACTTGTGAAATGAATGCAGTGTCATGTTTCATTTTAACTTCTTAATTATGGGTCGAAAGAATAAAGTATTTATCAAAATTTTTAGTAAAGTATCTCTCTACTGTTTCATGAATATTTGGAATGTATTAATATTCGTACCCGTCGTTTAGTTTATGAATAAATGAAATATGGGGTATACGTTAAGGGGAAAACAACCCAACGACAAAAATAATCAAACGATAGTACGTCAGGGACCTTCTATTATCTGAAGTTATATGTAGCTAGTACCTAGCTTTTTTTAACATAAAGACAAAATTGTCAATTATCATCTGAATTTCAACAAGCTTAATTTAGTTATACATTTTGTCCTTTTTGGTTTATAAACTCTTCATTTTTCAATAAGTGTTGGATTTAGAAATATGTTGGCCTCGAGCATCACTGAAGAGACACTCACTGTCGAAATGCACATCCGGTACAATACAATTGGTACCGTTAATGTTAGTAAGATGAATGTTTAAAGTAGAATTGAGTAACAATCTATTAATTTGCAAATATTTTCATACAAATTTATGAAAAGAAACGGAAACACGTCGAAAGAAAATCAATATATATTTCATTGTAAAACAAACCTGTTCTGTTAAGATTTATTTTAAACGGGAACTTTTCGAAATAGAATTAAAATAAAAACATTTTGCTAATGTTATAAGTATACCTTATTGCGCCTATCTATGTTGAACGCATTTATCCCATCGAACTAGAGATAAAGGATACACAGATACAGTTAAGTCTGCCTCATATCTTGACTTACATCTAAAAATTGACAATGAGGATCGGTTGAAAACAAAACTTTACGACAAAAGAGATGATTTCAGCTTCCCAATTGTGAACTTTCATTTCTATGAAGCAATATTGCAGCAGCGCATTGGAGTATATATCTCCCAATTGATACGATATTTCAGGGCTTGTGTTTCTTATCCTAATTTCCTTGATAGAGGGTTGCTGCTCATAAAGAAGCAATTAAACTAAGAGTTTCAATTGGTGAAGTTTAAATCATCCCTTCGTATATTTTACGGATGTCATCACGAGTTGGTTGACCTTTATGGAATATCTGTTTCACAGATGACAACGGATTCGTTTCAATTGTCGTAACTACAATCTCACCCCGTTTCCCCCGAATATGAACTACCGAATTAGATATTTCACCGGGTTTGTACTTACATGAGCAACACGACATGTGTCACATGTGAAGCAGGATCTGCATACCTTTTCAGAGCACCTGAGTTCGCTCCCAATATTTGGAGTGGTTCGTGTTGCTCAGTTTTTGGTTTTTATATGTCGTTTTGTGTACTGTTGTTTTTCTGTTTGTCTTTTTCTTTTTAAGCCATGGCGTTGTCAGTTTACTTTCGACTTATGAGTTTGAATGTCCCTTTGATATCCTTCGCCTCTCTTATAAACTTGACCAACATTACTTAAATGTAAAACATTTGTCAATGTACTTTAATCATTACACAATGAGAAACTGTTAATTTTTGCTGTATTTACAAAAGATTTATTATTGCATTTCCCGGATGGACTGAAAATAGTATACTTACTTATGCTTAGTATGATACTCCCAAAAAGGGATTAGACGGTTTGCTAACGCAAGATTCTTTGTGCCGCGTTGACATTCATTTTCAAGGACGATTATGCATGCATATATATTTTTCTTACTCACTTGGTTTATAATGAACATTTAGTGTTCAAGATATATATTTTTAAACAGTCATAGGAAAGTTTACCCCCCGCGCTTTCTAGGGAGATATAGCCATTTTGTTTTAAAGAAAATCACATACCAAATGAGTGTTCTTCACTTTTAAGGGGTATATATTTGAACACTTAATGATACATAATTCATATCGACAAACGTGAAGTTTTTCGTTACAATCTTCTTTTATTGTATTTTGCCGTTTGTCATTTTCATACAATGCAAAATTTATAAAAATAATGATTTCGAATAAAGCCTGAATACGCCGTTGAGATTCATATAAATAATTAGTTGGCCTCTCAAAGACAGCGTTAAACAACTAGTCTTTACACGCCTGTGGAACGTCTGGTTTTAATTTCATCTTGCGATTATGCATTAATTACTATGACAATACCGACTTAACCGGTTGACAAATCCAGGTCCTTTCATTTTGACATAACCCAATTCTTTCGATCCATGCAGAGAAATGCAAGTATTGATTTTGCTCAAAATGATCAATCTTGCAATCTCTATGTATGTATCTTTCTTTCCGTAAGTTTCGTTCCATACAATGTGCACAATTCAATAGGAAATTGAACAAATTCGAGGTAAGCTTAATTCATAATTTTGGCGTGCATTTTTACTTATTTCTCCATTAATTTAGAACGGTTGTAAAACAATTTTCCATCTCACAATCGAAAATAGTTATATCTATATTTATATTCTTCATTTTCATACAAATAACAAATAAATAAACAGAAATCTACCCTTTGTATGTCTGTAGGTAGTCATTACCGGATATTAGATACTATCGAGACCAAACATTTCTTGTCGGGTACTTCAGTTTTGTTTTCAGTTCAAATACATTGATGAAATACATTTACTAAGATAAACCTCTATTTAAATTTGTATTTTTCCGAATTTATTTTTGTTCTTTTTGTACGATCCAATCAAATCATGGTATTTAACCCATTTCTCTGACGTCATTCTATTGTTCTTACAGTGGATTATTTATCAAGAATCCACTGACCACTTCGTTAACTTAAGATAACTTATTTTATAACTTTAAACTTTTAACTTACGATTTTTTAACCTCTCAAAAACGAGTGGCATATGAAGGGTTCGAACTCGCGCGTATTTTCTTCATAATCAGTAGAGTCTTCAGTCTATGCATGATACCACTATACCACGAGTGCTCACATACATCATTATTTAAATAACACTCTTAAAGCGCACAACTGTCAATACATGTCAATAAACTGTATTTCTATCTCAGAGATAATTCGCTTTTGTTATCTAACAAAATACATATACTATGTCTGGATTTGTTCATGTTCTTTTCAAATTTATTTATATCACGTCAACATTGAACGGACTCTAATTTGAGTAAAGTGTGATATATAAGCTACGACCGTAAAACTACTTCTTTGACCGTAAAACCAGAAACATAATCATCGCCTTTACATGAAAATGAAGTATATAATACCTCTAAGATTAAAACTATTTTTATCGAGAAAAAAATTACAATGAAAAAATTTCATTCCGGATACAAGGTTCGAACTTTGCACTGTTAATATCACCGTTATGACATTCGTTACCAACGACTAGACGATCACAGCTATGAACAGCTTGATGGTAAGTTTATGAAATCAAGATAACTATTCATTGTACATCCGTAGCAAGAGCAATTCTGATGGGGATTCAGAATGCGTACCTCAGATAAAACTAGTTTATTTACCGGTGAACGATATATGCCAAATGTAATTATAACGTTAAAATAATCGTAACTTAATGAAGCGGAAACAGTTTAAACAGATTTGAATATAATTGTTCAATTTAAATCGTAAGCACAATCGTAATTTTAATACTTTAGGAAAGCAACATGAATTTGAGCATTATGAAATGGCAGATTTATGGCATCTACCTTATCAATATTTTTTTGACTAAGAACGGCTTAACGGTGTTTAGTCTTCAATTAACCAAATCATGTTGCTAAATATTATATATATAAATTTTGAAGGTTCTAAATTTTGGTAATTAAATTTTTTTAACTTTTCAAAACAAGATAAATAAATTCTGTATATTAATATATGTCTTTTTGAATAAATCAAATATACCAAAATCTATTCAATATAAATAATTTGTAATGATTAAACATTAAATGAAATATGTATATACAAAACTAAAATCTGGTGTTAAAAAGGGGAGCTAACACCCCATTTAAGTTATCTTAAACTTATGTTAACTTGTCAAATGTCTAATTATAGATGCGAACCGTGTGGATATAATCATTTCCAGCTATTATAGAATAAAAAAGACTAAATACTAAACTATTTTTATGAAATCTCGTTGATTCATTGTCAAAACGTAAAACAGACAGTCGTTTTAATAGAAATGGGTTAAGCTAGAGAATTGATAAGAAGTAGTGGATTCGGAAACGATAATCAACTTGCGACTAAAGTCGCTCGTTGATTATCGTCTACGAAACCACTACTTCTTATCAATTCTCTACTACATATTGATCTATAATAAATATAGTGCCAAATATATTTCTTGTGTATTTTAAAAACTTTAAATGAAAAGAGGTTTAAGGCACGTACTCTAGAGAAATTTCAGATTACAGTATATATAAATAAGATGTGGTATGAGTGCCAATGAGACAACTCTCCATCCAAGTCTCAATATATAAAAAGTAAACAATTATAGATCGAAGTACGGCCTTAAACACGGAGCATTGGCTCACACCGAACGGCAAGCTAAAAGGGTCCCAAAATGACTAGTATAAAACAATTCAAACAGGAAAACCAAGTATATGTCTGCTTAAGGTAGAGCATGAATGATGTGTTTTGAGTAGCAATACTTTCTCCAGTCTGTTCATCTTGTAAGCTTTATCTATAATCCTCTTTCTCAGAAACCTGTGTCTCTATTGTGATATATTGAGGATGGTTCACATCTAAGGTCCTTTTTCTTAAAAATTTTGTTCTTAATTATCTACACCTTCTGCTATTATTAAGTTCTGTAATAAGATAATTTCTCAGATCCTATGGTTATTAATTATTGATTTTTCTACCATAACAAGCTAAGGTGTATTTCTCGAGGAGACAGCAACTCAAGGACACAACAAAAACAAGACACATGTGTCTGCAATATATATCTTTTTATAGAACTGTAAATCAACATGAAAAAAGGTTATGAATAAACTCGTCATAGGTACCAGGCTTAAAATTTGTACGCCAGACGCATGTTTCGTCTACAAATGAATCATCAGGGACGCTTGAATAAAAAAATAAAAAAAAAATAACGGACAATCAAAGATATATGTTGAAATTAAGATGCTGTTCATTTACATTTTGTGCTGGAAAGTCTATGGTTTGAATGATATTAAGGTCCTTTTGGGGGTAAACATTGCATGAAAAGTAATCAAAATCCTAGTTTTACTGACTTATATCTTTTGACATTTAAAAAAGCATAGTGTAGTAAGTTTAAAATTCTTTACATTCTCTCCAGCCCATTTATATGTCGATTTAAATGTTTGGGGGTAAATATTGTATTCATGCAATCAAAACCCTTATGTTGCTGACTTGACAGTTATCTATTTTCAAAACTTTGTGACAACTTTTGAGATGAACAAAACATGGTGCATTGAGCACAATATTCAATACATCCAATTCATGAATATTTCAAGAAATTTATCAATGAAAAATATAGTCAAACAATCAAGTTCAAAAATGATGTGTACATGTATAACCGTACTTGTCAATAACATTACATTTATTGTGCACGGTGAATAAATCTAGTATCTGTTCTACAAGATATCAATAAGTTACATTGAAATTGGATTTATCTTCCTATGACCATAACTGTAATTGAACCAATTCACCAGTATTACCAATGATAATACAATACAATGTTTAAATTTTAGTTCCACTGCAAAATGGATTCAAGCTATACATTCGGTGCTCACAAACCTTTCGAATAATTCTTGTAATTTTTAATTTGTAACTTTTTTCTGTGATTTTCCGCTGTTATTTTTCCTTCATTGTTACTTGAAGACATGTTATCATGAAACATATGTGCATGGGCAAAACGATGCAGAAATTGTCAGCAAGTTTTATACTGAGGATCAAATCGTCAACTTAGACTAAATCCATAGTCACGATGCTTGGAAAGATCATGCACTTATATATGTTAATAAGAGAATAATATAATTCCAAACGCTCTGGAATGATTCAAACATATCTTTAATTATGTAGCAGTAATTGTTTTGATATGCTTATAAATGCCTTTACAGTCTCCTAAGCATCATTGAAGAAGACTTCATTGAATAATCGTTATTTTTCCAATAATACCATTGAATGCCTTTTGCATTGCCCTTTTCTCCTTCCATATATACTCCATTCAGGTTGGAGACTGCACATGATTTATACCACCAAGCGCCCTCTCTATCTATTCCGCAATTAACGCTGGTCTTTTGATCGTTGTCCCTGTCTTTGGTAGTAAAAGCTTGACCATTATGGTAACTCAGGCTATCTCCTGTTATAAATGTAAGAATCAGACATTCGACAAATTTCTTTTAAAAATTTTTACTTTCCGGCATAACTGTAAAACTGTAACACTAAAATTTAATCAAGCACCGATTAAAATAAAAAAATTCAGTGTTTTTAGCATTTACACCAAAATTCACAGTTTTTTTCTCAACATTTTTTTCTCAAATTTTCTTTCACAAAACAGGTATTTGGGTTAATGGAACTATACAATGTGAAATGCAAGGTATGTGTACTTGTAAAATAACCAAAGAACGAGGAGTCATTGTATCAAAATGCTGTTTTCGAAACGAATACAAACAATCAAGTTCCGATTAAAATATTAAATTTGTAAGAATGAAACTATATTTTAATTAAATACAGAATTAAGCCGAAATTTTACAATATTCCATCGGTCTAGTATGCATTACTTTGGCTGAAAATAATAAAACTGATTGTGTTCAAAATACTCAATTATCGACTGAGTCGATGAATACTCTTATTTGTTTCTTTTTCAATATTCCCTGTCAACTAACGTTACGAAAGTAAAAAAAAATACATTCTCATAAATAAGAGGCAACATCAGTATACCAACAAAAAAGATTATTTGTAAACAATGACAACTCAGACTTAGGTTCTAGTGATATATTTGAAGTCAGACTTCAAGCCAGGAAACACGAAATTATATCGCTTAGCAAACAAAAAGAGGAATATTTTAAGACATCATAAGGAAATATTTAACAATAGGGAGTAATCCATCGGTAGTCGAAATTGAAGATGTCCCTTTAACAAGTCCGATTTTCTTGGTTCGAAAAAACGCAAAAGAACAAATCAAATACTTTATAGAGAATGGTTCGTAAAAAAGAAAGGCGAAAGATGCCAAAGGGAAATTCAAACTTATAAGTCGAAAATAAACTGACAACGTCATAGATAAAAAAAAAGAAAAAAGACCAACAGACAAACCACGGTACACAAAGCACAACATAGGAAACTAATGACTGAGCAACATCAACCCCACCAAAAACTGGGGCCGGGGGGGGGGGGGGGGGGGGGGGGGGGGGGGGTGTCTCGGGTGCCCCAGAAGGGTAAGCAGAGCTTGCTCCACAGGTGCCACCCGTCGTGTTGCTCATGTAAGTACATACCGGTGATAAGTCTAATTCGGTACGTCACATTTGGGTAAAAGGAGACGGTATTGTAGTTACGACAATTGGAACATATTCATCCGAGAAACTGATTTCATAACGATCAACCAACTCGTGCTGGGGTCCGTGAATTTACGAAGGAATGATTTCAATTTCATCACTTGGAACTCTTGGGTTATATCTTACTTGTGAGCAGCAATCATCTAGGAAATCAAGGAAGTTATGATATGAAACACGAGCCCTGAAATATTGTATCAACTGGGAGATATATATTCCGTATGCAGGCGCTGCTAGAATGTTGCTACATAGAGATGGTAAATTCACAATGAAGAAGCTGAAATCCTTTCTTTTGGCGTAAAGTTTTGTTTCATACGACCCAAATTGTCAATTTCTAGATGTAAGTTCAGATATGAGGCAGACTTAACTGTATCTGTAGTATCCTTTATCTCAAGTTCGATGGGATAGGTGCGTTGTCAAAGTCTCATGTCGGTTTTAACCTTATATAGATTAGTTTTACGATCAGCAATTCTTAGTCGAATCCTTATTTACAACTCCTAACTAAATCATTTTCTAAAAGAAACTTAATTTACTGTTTTGGTTCATTTTACTTGCCTTTAGATGAGAGTCAAAGTTACTAGCATTATATTTAGAATAAGGAGATGTAGTATGATTGCCAACGAAAAAACAGTTTGCTATCTACCAGAGTTTAAATGACGTTGATTTAGGTAAATATAAGTCATTGTACGGCCTTCAACAATGAGCAAAATCAATACCGTATAGTTTGCTATAAAAGACTAAAAGGTGAAACAGTTCAAACAACGAAGTTCGTTGTACTTTAGACTACGAAGATACTATCGATAGTAGGCAGGTTAATGCACTTTAGAAAAATTAAGCAATGATTTTCGATGATTGCATCGAAATCTAAATCTGACGTCATAATCTAAACTATGCGGAACGTGATTGGCTAAAACGTTTATTCGACGTCAAATTTGAGCTTGTCAAGAACAGCTGATCGGGTACCTTGTTATGATAGACCAGCTAACGTCTAAAGAAGGATGTTGCTTATATTTTTAGGTAAGTTTGTTAAACACTATTATAGCTAATTATTGCCGAGTTTTGTAGATTTTCATTTAATTGGAGATAGTGTCTCGATTGGGTATGAATCTAGAATCTAGATTAAGCTGCAACTTAGGCGTTTTGATGTCAACATAACAAGAGAAGTAAACTCGGAGGCGAATTAAGGGGTAGGGAAGGGTGCCCCCTTAATTGAGCTAAATGAAATGGCTAATGCATATACTTTTGACATATCCCACTCCAAACGTTGCTTAATCAGGGAACCCCGGGTCCTCCTTTTGAAAATCCTGGATCCGCATCTGATTTGACTTCCAATGATTTTTAAAAAGAAAGGATGGAACTTGTAAGAAGTCCGAGCACCCTGGTTGCACCCCCCCCCCCCCCCCCCCCCCTTTTCCGCCTCTGATGCATGTCATGTTTTTAAGTTTAGGTTGGAGGCAAACACTAGACATAGCTATTCAGTAAGTTTTCAGCATGAATCTTCAGATTGCACATGCAAAATTATTTCCTTATATGTTTATTTTAATTGGATAACATATGAAGAGAAAGAAAATATTTTACAATATATGCATGCATGGCACTGTGTATGCAATCACACTTATGATTTGCCAGAATATAACAAATTTGAAAAGGCAAGCACAAGAGATGTTTAAATATATATAACAGCTATTATTTATTATGGCCATAATTTAAAGAAAACAAAATCTCATTTTGTATGGTTTTAAATCTGATATTCATTATACCATCTTCTTCATTCATCCCTTTCTGTGTACATTTAAATTTTAACATTAATCAATATATTCTACTTTAATATATGTTAGTCTATAGATTAATGTTTTATTTGTTATAAATATTGGTTAACTATCAAAATTTGTATCTGAAATCTGTCAGTTTTAATTATATTTCTTTCTGTAGATCTTTTTCACATTTTGACAAGCATCACTTAAAACAATAAACATAAGTCTTATTCTTGTTCATTTACAATGGGATGTGTAAATTTAGTTTGAAACCTTTCAGTAATTATTGTAACTTCTTTTGTATAATGATTCACACCATACTGTTACATTAAAATGACAATATTAATGATTAAAGACATGTTTTAATTATATTAAGCAAGAGGTCTACACAATGTAAGCATTAATTTTATAATGTATGTCAGCAAAGGGTCTGGATAGGGCTCCTTCATATCTTTATTCTTTGAATTTTAAAATTTCTCTAGTCTTTATTTATGTTTTAACACCCCATTATTCTCTTTTCTTTTTCCCCCTGTTTTTCTTTGTCCTTTCATTTTTTCACCCTTTATTCTGCACTCCCCTAATTATTCCCTATCTGTGAACCCCATTTAGACCCTTATGTAGTAGGTGTGCATGATCTTTCTGCTTCATTGAGTTGGATTCAGTCACATTGAATATTGACTGATTAAGTTATAATAATAACAAAGTGGTTAAGCATTGTGATGGATAAATATCAGTTAAAGTATCCTGTAGTTAAACTTTAATTGTAGTTTTACAAAAAGGACTTAATTTTAAGGTACATTTTAAATCAATACAGAGTTTTATTCATGACAAGCTTAATTTACTTATATGCTATTAGAAAAACAAAATTTAAACTGAAGTTTACTATGTGTATCATAACATGAATGCAATAACATTTAGATTGCCTCTAACTGAGTGTTACAATATTTTTTTCAGTTTTATAATTAAGATGACTTGGAAGCAATGGTGTAATAATATAGTTTTTACAAACTGAAATTGAAAAAGTAATCAGAGGAAAAGATTGTGCACTTGTTTTACTTGAAGTTCAACAGACACAAGGACAGACCATATATATAATCATATTTTGGGATAATTTTAGATCTATGCATGAAAAGAAAAAAGTTTTAAAGATAATAATTGGGAAGACATATATAACACAATTACTACAGAGCTTAATAGGAAATAATCCATGGAATGTCACATGTGAATTGAAAGAAAAACTTTAAAATGAAGTAATCTTCAAACTTTTTTCACGAGAACTCATTGTAACGGTCATAAGAGATATTAAAGAAAGACAGGACTTTCGCACTGACACCAGTGTCCTGTGTTAATATTACTTACAATTGAACAAACATGCACTTATTTAGAAAAGTATTATTTGTCTTAATGTTTATTATTTTACATGGTTTACGAAAAGCCAGATTAGTAGTATTATATTATTTGTTCCGATAGTATAAAGACCTAATCTTGAAATGGCTGCAATACACAACTACGATCAATTTGTACTTCAGTGACTTACAATTTGAAAAGCTCCCGTAGTAACCATAATGGAATTGGCTACTTTCAAAATTTTCCATAACGCATGTTTATGTTAAAAGTTTTGATGCACTTAGTTCATATTCAAAAACAACTTTCTCTTTAGTTAAGCACACGCTCATAATATTTTGGAATCCGTTACTAGAAACCGTTAACCAATTACATTCAATAAGATGGTTATCATGGCAGTTGTGGAAAATTTATTATGAGATTTTGTTTTTGTAATTGCTATTATTTTGTAATAAATTATAACTCACCAGCATTCCCACTGTATCCAGCGACAGTTAATCTATAGTTGGTAGAAACATCACCAACCGAGAATGTTACATATCTGGCATAAGCTTTGTTGCTATCAAAATCGGATATGTCTACTTTTAGTTCGTAGTTTCCCTGTTTAGTGATTGTATGTATCTTTTGGTTACCTAAAAGAGAATACAAAATGACGTTTATAGAATTGATTGCAATATATGTGATGGATATAAGTTGATCCGAAAAGTAAGAAACATTACAACAAAGGAAGGCTTGGTTCATATATCAATTTTCTTTTCTTTATTATTTTCAAATGCATTTGAACTTCGTCCTTGATTTGGTCTTTCAATTATCTTTATTTGGGCGCCACTAATAAATCTTATTCAAACGAAGCGCAGGTTTGGCAAATCGAAAAATAATAAATAAATCATACTTTACCAGACTAAAATATCAATAAAATAATAAACTTTTGATTCTTTTTAAATTGAAACCATATGCTTAAAAGCTTGATTATTTTTATCTTACTTCATTTACTACACAAACAATGAAGAATTTGGACCAATTTAACATGTTTAATTGGTGACATGTGCGCATCAAAACTGTTATCTATTTTGTTTTTTTTTCTGGCCGTTCATATATCCTTAGACTTATTTCCGTTTATATTTGTACTTGTCTTGACATTATATTAATCTTTAGAATTTCTATTTTAGATGTCCATTTAGAGGTATTCATTTTCCTCTTTTCTGAATAGAAACGCCGACGTTCATAAAATGTTGTTGATAAAAGTTAGTCAAATAATGGCAATACGAATGCAATGTTTTTTACTGTAAACAACTTAGTTATTCACTGGCGTAAAATGCGAAATTTGGAGAAGTTCGGAAATGGACAAAATATATCATTCCAAGATCCATATACTTCATATTCACTGTCAGACGCGATAATAGGAAAAAAACTAGGTATTACGTTTTGAAAATACAATAGCATTAAAATATGACGTTTTAATGTACAACAACATGATTGAATTATGTGTTATTAAAGCAACAGAGTATAGAATATCGATTATTAAAAGCGATTTATTTTCACAATGAATAATAGGAAAACAAAGGATATGGGGTATCCATCCATAACACAAAATCAGTACATGCACAGCAAAAAACACAAAAAGCAAAGTAACCACGCTTTAATTGCTGTTCTTCATCTCAAAGTCACAATGAGGCATTCAACACGGAGCAAAAAAGATCTCACCTCACTGCAAGTTTAAAACGGCCCTAGCACCGGTTTGAGTGGAAATCTCTGCAAACTGAAATAATTCGGAGATATTTTGTAGATGTAACACTACCAAATTGGGCAAGGTAAAAAAATACATACTGGAAAGTAGTACATATTAAATACAAAATATTTCCTACGCATAGGCGTAAATATCAATAGAATATATTTGGGTAATTTAGGTATCAAATGAAAGGTGAATGACTATTGATCCTGGTAGAACATTTTTTGACTGATAACTTTAAACAATACAAAAATGTATGAATGCATTTAAAAACTGAGGGCATATATTGTCTGTTTCTCAGATATGAAGTACCTGGTTTAGCGAACCCAAAAATCCGGTAACCAGTACGGTCTGTGTAAATAACGGTATATAGAACCCCCCCCCCCCCCCCCCAACATAAATGCTACAAATAGAAAACTTTAACAGAGAAGGCGAAAAGGGGCAATAATAGATGGTGTGCGTCTTATCTAAATTTGAGAGAATGTTGTGGCACATATGAGAGATGTTATCTCAAGAATAAATACACCATGAATGCGTGTTTCATGTGCGATTTTGTTCTAATTTGGAATTTTTGATGGTGCAATGAATTTTCTTTGTGGATTTATGAGATAATTGGACATGCAACAACTGATACTATTTAATTGATGAGTATGATATACAATGTATAGATGACATTTACAATTTGAAATACAAACGTATCGTTCTTGCTTACTTGAATATAGAAACATTAAAGCTTGTAACAATAAACTGTTCTCAATATGTCATTGTATTCCTAAAGTAGGAAACTGTCCTATTTGTGACAACAATTTGTCTTCAAACATAAATTAAGGTGTCTCTATTGTTGCTAAAACATTCGTTACTGTATAAGATGCATGCACTAGTAAAAATCCAATGGCATGTGACATATTAATTATCCACAGTCATTCAAACGTGAATTGTAAATCAAGTTTATTGGACAGCTTTTCTGTCCAAGATAGACTCACTTACATCGGTACGTATGAGTGGTAGATCATGTCAGAATAAGGATGGTTTTATAGGTATACACTTTACATCGATAGACTTTCAACAAGTATATATATATTATTAAAGTATCGGTACAACGATGGTTCTTACATAAGCACTGATACTAGATTAAAGTATATATATATATGCTTTTTATAGGTATACTGATACTTGTTGAAAGCATACCGATGCTTTTTAGAAGTATACTGCTACTTGTTAAAAGTATAACGATGCCTTATATAAGTATACAGATACCGGTTAAAAGTAAACCTTATATATATACTGATACTAGATACAAGTATACCGATGCTTTTCATACGTATACCGATACTTGTTGAAAGTATGCTGATGCTTTTAAGAAGTATACCGATACTTGTTCGAAGTATACCGATGCTTTTGTATAATTATACTGATACTTGTTCGAAGTATACGGATGATTTTTATAAGTAAACTGATACTTGTTCAAAGAATATCGATGCTTTTTATAAGTAAACAAATACTTGCTTAAACTAAACCGATGCTTTTTAGAAGTATACCGATACTTGTTTATGAGTGGCCGTTTATGTCAAAATAACGATATTTCCATCTTTATAGTGTTTCCATCGTGATTGTTTTAACAAGTATCCCGATGTTTTTAACAACAACCATGATACATGTCAAAATTATCATGATACTTGCTCAAAGCATCACGAAGCAATTCAATTTACATAAGCATCGCGTTGGAAGCCAAAAACATCACTATGGGAGTTAAAAGCTTCACTATTGAATTCACAATCCCTCATAATGGAATTCGAAAGTATCGTGATGGAAGTTAAAAGCATCATGATATAAGACAAAAGCATCACGATTGAGGTAAAAAGCATCATGTTGGAACATTAAATGCTAAGACGGCCATTTTGTTCTAAATCTCGTTTACACACAATCGGCTCGTAAATTGTAATAATTGCTTTCATTGGTTGCAAAAGGATATTGCACTCTTGCGAGTTGACTTGTATCAATATACTTTAAACTTCCATCATGATGCTTTTGACTTTAATGGTGATGCTTTTAATCTCCATTGTGATGCTTTTGACTTCCATCATTATGCTTTTGACTTCCATCGCGATGCTTTTAACTTCCATCATGATGCTTTTGACTCCTATCATGATGCTTTTGGCTTCCATCGCAATGTAATTGTCAGTTAAATTATTTCGTGATGCTTTGAGCATAATACTTTAGACTTGTATCATGCTTCTGACAAGCATCATGATACTTGTAAAATGCATCTGAATACTTGTTAAAACCATCACGATGTAAAAAACTGGAAGTATCGTTATATTAACATGAACGGCCACTCATACTTGTTCGAAGAATAGCGTTATTTTTTTTAGAAGTATACTGATACTTGTTCGAAGTATACCGATGCTTTTTATAATTATACTGACCCTTGCTAAAAGTCTACCGATATGTTAAATGTATATTAATACTTTTGATAACTATACTGATAGTTGTTAGTGGTATACCGATACTTTTTAAAAGTATGTCTATACTTGTTGAAAGTATATCGATGTATGGTGTATCCCTATAGAGCCATCCTTATTCTGACATGATCTACTACTCGTAGGTACGTAATGTATAACACATTTGATAAAAACCAAAACTGAAAACGTAACCAGTCACTCTCGAAAACGTGAAGTGAAGTTTGTTGTGTGATCGCTCTATATTATCAAATATGCATCCATTGATAACATTTTATTAGTATGTGATGTTTAGTTCCCTCGATATTGACCGAAATCGACATTTAAGCAAAGTTGTCGATGGCGTGGATGTACGTAGCTGTCTAAGATACATGTTTTAAATGAAAAATTGTTATTGGAATGGATAAATGAAGTGGTATAATTCAGAGCCAGTTTTTGACCCCTGACATTGCAAAATTATTTAACTTATTCAAACCTTCCAAAATTATGATGAACAGTTTTTTTTTAAATAAATGAACAGGTGAAAGTAATCTTGACACTTTAGGTAAAAAAAGTCACTTGTGATGTCCTAAACATGTCGACAAAATGACCTGATCACGCATAGCTCTATCTTTTCTCCAAATATATTTGAGCAACAGCTTTACAAAAAAAAATAATAATAAAATAAACACATTAACATCTTCGTAAAATACATTTTGTAGCAAAATATCTTTCTGGGTTAAACGGTTGCTTTTATCTCAAAGATAATGACAAGATCTCAAATTGAGGCTATTTTCCAAATTAACTGTCTTTGCTGTTTTCCACCAAACATGCTAAATGTAAGGTATTTGAAGCCTAATCATTTCTTTTTAATTTTCATTACGCTTTTGAGATTGTACTTTTTTTCTAAAATCGAAAAAAAAAGTGAATCATAGAAAACTGTGAAAAAGGTTGATAACAAAAGCCGAATGATGAAGGAAATTTTAAAATTGATGTTTTTTCTAGAGGAGCTGTGTTGGTTTTTTTGGAAAGGTACATAAAGAAACTGGTCATGGTAGCGAGACCGTATGACTAAACAACTTAGTAATAGCTATGCAAAAGTCTCCCGTGATTCTACTGAACTTTTTTTTACTATGCGAAAATTGTAATTTGCAGAAAAATACAAAGGGAAGGGAAAATATGCTTAAGGAGTGGCTGTCAATTTAATTAATGCTTTCACAATTTCCGGTGTTCATCATATACTGAAAGTGTCAACGGTCGTGAATTTACAGCTTTTGTTATATCAGAGTTAAAAAAATGTGGACACAACTATTTATCGTTTGCGGGAAGCCTATACATCCCGCATCACGCTTTAGTATTGAACAGTCAAACACAGATATTCATGACATGCTTACTGCATGGATGAGGGACAAGGAAATCAACAAAGGGGTCATTTGGAATAAAAATCGTCCAGTTACAAAGTATT